AAAAAAAAAAAGGAGCCATGGTCATGGTGTGGGTTACCACTGAGTGTAGTAAGGATAAGGAAAGGCTCCTGGGAGCCCCGTGAGGGGAAGATGAAAGATTGATTCAGTGCATTTCCAGGCCTGTGGAAGCTAGGCTTCTTCTTGTTGTTTTAGAGACAGGATTTCTCTGGCTGTCCTGGAACTCACTCTGTAGACCAGGCTGGCCTCGAACTCACAGAGATCCAACTGCCTCAGCCTCCCGAGTGCTGGGATCAAAGGCATGCGCCACCACTGCCTGGCATGGGAACAAGGTTTCTTAAGGCAGGAACAGGGAAGAGGCAAGGCTAGGAGAAGGCTCACCCAGAGTCAGAGTCTGGGGACGGAGACGGGGTCTGGGGAAGTCCTGATGCACGCCTTTAATCCCAGCACTCGGGAGGCAGAAGTAGGAGGATTTCTGTGCGTTCGAGGCCAGCCTGATCTACAGAGTGAATTCCAGGACAGCCAGGGCTACACAGTGAAACCTTGTCTCAACCAGAAAAAGAAAAGTTGTGAGTCTATCTGGTGGTAGGATCTGATAGGCTGTTCCATCCCAAATCGCGTCCCCAACCCCCAGCATCCATTTTGCCGATAAGGATACTAGGGATGTCCTCCCGGAAGGTCTGAGGCCCCTGGCCTCTGTTTCTGAAGCCTCCCCATCCTTTGCTCCTAGGTTTGCAGAGAGAGAGAGAGAGAGAGAGAGAGAGAGAGAGAGAGAGAGAGAGAGAGAGAGAGAGCAGCTGCTGTGGCGGGAGTGTGGTAAGAGGATTGTGTTTCCCACCATCCCACCCCAGGACAAATGCCTAAGAAAGCAAAAGCATATGACGGAGAGAGTGGAATCACCAAAAGGGGTCAGGCTCTGTGTACTGTACAAGTCACCTTGAAAGGTCTCAAGGTCATTGCTTTACATACACACCATGTCCAACCTCCAAGCTGAAGGCAGCCGGCCTAGCTTGGGCAGTGACTGGGCAAGACACAGCCATCAAGGTGTCAGAGGCTGGAAAGGTTAGAGAATTATCAGAGTCACACAGCATGTCCTCAGCACCATGTGGCTCCATCCTCATAGGCTAGGCTGGTGGGGAGCACTCGGGGGAAATGGCCCCTTGGGCTGGCGTCCTGGGGTGGGCATCCAGGCATGCTCTGGTCGTGCCTTGAAGGACTAAAGATCTAGGAGAGGAATGGAAGAGGATTATTTTTCTTTTTGAGACAGGGCCTCGCTATGGAGTCTGGAACTCGCCATGTAGACCAGATTGGACTGAAATTCACAGAGACCCACCTTCCTCTGCCTCCTGAGCGGGGGCATTGTGTGCAGAAAAACCCCACTCTGGAGGGGTTTTCTAAAAGGGCAAGGGCCACAAAGTGTGGCAAAGCAGGGGACCTTTTCAGGAGATGGTGGGGAGTAGAGCTTGTTGGGATATATTTTCCTTTCCTCCTCCATAAAGCAGGAATAATAAAAGCACCTATCTTGTGGGATGGCTGGGATCGAATAAAGTAAGTGTGAAAATACTTGTGAAGAGTAAACTATGGGAGGACTGTAAGTCATTTCTGCTGGAGTTCACACAGATAGGTGTGAAATAGGGACAAGGCAGGGAAAGTGAGGAAACAGAGTGCCAGCAAGAAAGGTTAGGACTCGTGGTGGAGAGGAAACAGGGCCTCTGTGTGTCCGGGACAGCACACCGCCACCGAGGTGGGCTTGTTCCAGAGTTCCCTGGCCCAGGGCTCGAGGTACCTTCCTCTGACTGCAAAACGGTCTTCGTGCCTGTCTGGGCCTGGCAGCCCTGGGTAGCAAAGACAGCCAGCCGGAGCATGGACTCTCAGTTTGGCATTTCTGAGTCATCTTCACCCCTATGAGCCTTCAATGTCTCAACTGGAAAACAGAGCGCTAACTGTCCTGTGGTTTGTGTGAGGGCATGTGCCAGGCAGCTCCTCGGCGGCTCAGTGGGCTGCTGTTCGTACACCTCTAACATTCTGCCAGTCAAAGGTGATTGGAGGATGGCCGGTGTGAGGCGAACAGCCTGGGGTTCAGGCCAAAGACACATCATTCCCCAGCTGAGGCACACAGGCAATCTAGAGACACTGGCCTATCTCAGTCTGGTTCAGTGGTTCTGTGATACCCCGGGGGTCCCCCCAAGTCCCTGAAGCCTGCTGTGGGCATCTGCTGCCACCTACAGGCCCTACACAGCACTGCCTCCCCTGTCAATCAGAGGAGAGGTCAAGAGCCTTTATGTCCCAATTCAGAACAATGAGGCACAGTGAGGTGTTCAACACATGGTGATGATGATGACTGATGATGATAATGGATGGGTGGACAAAAAATTTCCTTATCTACTTAAAATGAGACAACAGAAGGGATTTGGGGATTATTTAGTACCATATACCAAGTACTCGAAGAGGCTTATATATTTTCCTGTAAAAACCCCAGGGCACAAGAAGTGATCCTTAGGTACATGGGAGAGGGTTAGTGATAGACGTACCAAAGGCAAAGAACTCTGCGGATGCTGGGGAACTACATGACTCTTCTGTTTCCCTTCTACCCTGGAGCAGGATCTTGCTCAAGAAAATGCCCTCCGTCCGGGAAATCCTGAAGGAGCGCGGAGTGGACATGACCAAGCTCAGCGCTGAATGGGGTGAATTCACCAAGAGGTCCTCCTTTGGCAACGGCACCTCCCCCGTGGTCCTCACCAACTACCTGGACGTGAGTGCCTAGCTCAGCTGCTATTTCCCTTTCTCTCGAGGACTAGCAGGCCCCTCTCTTTCCACCAAGCTTGACTGAGCCAAAGAGCACCTGCGTACTCTAGAGAGCTATTTACAGCTGAGAAGTATGAGGCTGTCTTGCTGGTGGTGGTTTATTTGTTTTGGTTTTTCGAGACAGGGTTTCTCTGTATAGTTTTGGTGCCTGTCCTGGATCTTGCTCTGCAGACCAGGCTGGCCTCGAACTCACAGAGATCTGCCTGGCTCTGCCTCCCGAGTGCTGGGATTAAAGGCGTGCGCCGCCGCCGCCGCCGCCGCCGCCGCCGCCGCCGCCGCCGCCGCAGCAGCAGCAGCAGCAGCAGCAGCCGCCACCGCCGCCGCCACCCAGTTTGTTTTGTTTTTGAGACATGGTCTGGCCTGGAACTCACTGTATAGACTAGGTTGACTTCGAACTCACAGAGATCTACATGCCTCTGCCTCTCAGGTTCGTTCATGCCCAGCTATTTCAGCCACTCTCATTAGGCTTCCACGCCTCAGCGAGTCTCCTATATTCCAGGACAGCAGAGGATAAGGCAGAGCTCATATACTTCAGCAAAAATGGAAAGCCAAGAGTCAAGAGGGGGAGCAGGCAAGGCTCCCAAACCCAAGCAACTTTCCCTCCACCCCTGCAGACCCAGTACTATGGCGAGATTGGCATTGGCACCCCAGCCCAGACCTTCAAAGTCATCTTTGACACGGGCTCAGCCAACCTCTGGGTCCCCTCCACCAAGTGCAGCCCCCTCTACACTGCCTGTGGTAAGAGTCAGGTCCCGTGCCTCTGCCCTAACCCTTCCTGCTGCGCCTAACTCGGCTGCCCATTTCCCAGGGAACTGCTTTCCCTTAGCCCCAGGCCATTGGTCCAAGAAAGAGAGAGGAAATGTCTCTCATCTTTCTGAATTGGCCACCAAGGTGAATAAGCCAGCTCTGGGAAGTGCCTGGGCACCTGGAAGGCCATTTCCCAGGGTCCCTAGGATTCAATCAGAAACAACGCGACAAACCCATTCCAAGTCCTGAGGCTCTTCCAATGATAGCCTTAGTGAATTGCCCTCACACTAAGCACCTACTCTGTATCCAGAATCCTCTCTGGCACTATGTCAATGTTAGCAATGGCTATAGAATTCTTTGTTTGAAACAAATGTCTCGGAAGCATAAGCACTTAAGACAAAACCAAGAAAACCATCCTTGACTGGTGTACATTTTTTCCAAGCTGGAGACTCAGGAATCCCACCACACATACACACACACACACACACACACACACACACACACACACACACACACACACCTGAGCTAAGTCTTCAGTCATACTAGCCACATCCACCACTTGCCCCACTTCTGAGCCTCCTGCCTAGGTCAATAACTCTTAATGCTGATCTGAGCCTGTGTCCTTCTGCTAGAGATCCACAGCCTCTATGACTCCTCGGAATCCTCCAGCTACATGGAGAACGGGACCGAATTCACGATCCACTATGGATCAGGGAAGGTCAAAGGCTTTCTCAGCCAGGACATAGTAACTGTAAGTAGGACCGGCCCTCCTTACACCCACGGGGCCCATGTGGAGCAGGGCAGGTGTACTCCGGCCCACCTTGGCAAGTTAAGGGACAACCTCCTTGGCAGCTTCTAATGGAAGCTACGAAGACCAGCGCCGCAGAGGAGCTGGCACTGCTTGACAAGGCTTGGCATCAAACTTCCGTGTGGGCAAGCCTACACCCCACAGTTTCCAACCTTGCGACAAGCCTGGACTTACCAATTCAGACCAGGCTTGGAGTATTGCTGAGATTGGGGAATCTGGGGTTTGTGCCAGGGCATGGGTTGCTTCCTTTTAGCCAGTGTGTAAGCCCATCTTGTGGAGTCACAGGCCCTGCTGTGCCTGGGCCAGGGAAAGACACATATAGAGCCCCAGAGGGGACCAGTGTGACCAGGGGACTTCACTCTCCCTGTGCCCGTGAAATCAGGGGGAGGGGCACAAAGCGAAGCCCTGGTTATGATGGGGAATCCTGAGCATGGGCTGGTGGGGCTAGCATGAAAATGGGCCTCTGGGAGGGGTGCAGATCACCTGCCTGGAGGGACCTCTTTCTCAGCACTAGTTAACCCCATCTCTCTGGCCCCCAAGCATGGATGTGTTGAGAGAGTATGTGAAGGCTTGCTGGGATAGTCTTACCCTAACTGCTGTACAGAACCTGCGTGTCTTTGGGGTTCCTGTTGTGGAAGCCAGAGCAGACCCCGGCCAGGTTTCGATGGTGACCTCTACCCACTCTGGTTCTTCTCTCACAGGTGGGTGGTATCACTGTGACACAGACATTTGGAGAGGTCACCGAGCTGCCCCTGATACCCTTCATGCTGGCCAAGTTTGATGGGGTTCTGGGCATGGGCTTTCCTGCTCAGGCCGTCGGCGGGGTCACCCCGGTCTTTGACCACATTCTCTCCCAGAGGGTGCTGAAGGAAGAAGTCTTTTCTGTCTACTACAGCAGGTGGGCCTTTGATCCCGAGGCCAAGGCAGGGAGGGGCGGAGAGCTGGAGGAACGGCAAGAGTCCAGGCCAGGATTTGCATGCTCCTGGTCAGGTGGTACTCGATCCATATCTGGAGCCACACACTGGCCAATTAAAATGAATGGAAATCAAACATCCAGTCCTTAGGGACTGGCCACAGAGACACAGCCAGCTTCATGCCTTGACTTATTTGTTCTCTCACTGATCCAGTCAGTGCTCTGAGCCACGTGCTGTGGGAGGCTCCAGGGGTGCACAGTGAACAAGACAATCCCTACCCTCCATCCTCATAGAGCTTGCTGTCCAGTAGGGGAGACAGGAAATACAGCACACTGAATGCCTCGGGCATACCAGGCACCCGGTACAGAAAGCCGCAGATCCTTTCGATTCTAGGCCAGGTTTCTGTGCAGTTCAGCCAGCCCTGGGGAAGCTGTGGTCAGCATCCCAGCAGGGCTTGGAATCAGCGGCTGCCAATTTCTGGGTTCAGAAAGAGGGTCTGAGCTGGAGGTAAAATCGTTACGGATAAGAACGGAGGCCAGGGGTGATGAGATTGGAAGGGAGGGGTGGACTCTAGAGCAACCTGAGAGGAAGCAGAAGTCTCTGGACGGTGACTCTGGAAGGGAAGCTTTGAGTGAATTACACCAGTCAGAGGCTCCTGCAGTCAGGGGTCCTGGGAAGTCTGTGTTTCAAACAGTGGAGGCAAGAAAAACAGTGGTTAAGAGTGGAAGTGGGTGTCAGAAAGTGTAGGTCACAAAATGTGGGCTGCTTTGGGAAATTCAGCGGGGAAGAGTGCTGGGGCGGGGTGTAGGGTAAGATCCAGAGAGAAGCAGGGACTGGGAGGTGGCTGTTCTAAATGCTAGAGGATGCTTGAGCAATGCTGGGGGGAGGGGAAGACGAGCTGACTAAAGAAGACTTAAAATGCATGGGGCTCGGAAGTAGGGGCCATGGAAGGAATTAGGGTCCAGCAACAGACAGCAAGCAGATCTGTAAGCCGGGGTCCTCTTGGGCTAGGAAGAAGTGACATTTATATAAGTAACTGAATCTTGAACAGAACATGTGCCCACCTACCCTGTGTACACATGTGCACATATGTGTATGTCATGGGTTCTGAGAAACTCCTTTACATACACATAAGTACCTTGGAAACCAGCCCAAGGCGGCCCTGGGCTGAGGTAGAATCATGAACATGGAGAGGAAGGTGAGGGCAGTCAGCTTTGACTGGGAACAAGAGACTGGCTCTAGGCACCACATGTCCACCAAGCTCTGGGTGATTTCACTCTTTGGTGACTCAGTTGCCCGAAGTGTGAGAGTTAACCTCTATCCCTACCAAACAACAGGGTTGCTGAATTTTGCCCACAAAGAAGGTCTCCTCTCTACGTCCCTCTCAGCCTCAACAGAACTCTTTAGGAGACAGGAGCCCCATGTGGCCCTGAACTCCAATACTCCCCGGACCTTTGCCCCCGGAATCATGGCCGCCACCCACACAGACTCCCACTCCTCAGGCCCAGCCCCCTTACACGTCTGATTTCTCCCTAGACTCTAGAGTCCGGAGTCTGCTCCACACATCTGTTGCTCCAAGTGAGGAAGGCATGATTTATGACTTATTTGCATCTATCTTGTGTCCCTGAACCTGATGGTTTTCTGGAGGCAGCTAGACAGTCCTAGAAATACTTCTGCTGCATTCGGGGAGGGGCCAGGAAGGGAGAGAAGCAATGGGTTCTGCGTGCCACTATTACAGCTGTTTACAGCCTTGCCATCCACCCCCGAAACCCTACCTCTGCCCCAAAGCCCTCTACCCCACCCTGCGCCTCAGTCAACTTTCCCTCATCCCTGAAGTCTCGGGTTTCAACGGGTGTGTGGCTCTAACTTCTGTTGGTCTTTCCTTTAGGGACTCCCACCTGCTGGGGGGAGAATTGGTGCTGGGGGGCAGTGACCCCCGGCATTACCAAGGCAATTTTCACTATGTGAGCATCAGCAAGACTGGCTCCTGGCAGATCACAATGAAGGGGTGAGCAATCATAACCTTCCCAACCCTCCAAACTGGTGTTGTCGCTGGGATTGGGGTGGGCTGGGGTGAGGGCGGGGGCAGCCGCTCCTTATGGCTCAGTCTATCTGCTCTCTGCCAGCTCTGTCCAGGGTGGGGGCACAGGATGGGATTTGGGGATGGGAAGGAGAGGACTCAGGGAAAGGAGGCGGAGTCTCTAGTCTATGTGTTGATGATAAGGAACAACCAGCACCTTCTCTCAGTACCTCAGCTCTCCTCCAATGCACTGCCAGACCACTTGTACGGCTTTCTATCACTACCCTTAATTGGGGAAAATGTGCAGACTGGTGGGGAGGGGGTGCCTGGCAGCTTCTGCCTGTCTGCCTTCTTGTCTGTCTGTCTGCCTGTCTAACGGTAGCCTCCACAGGGTATCTGTGGGGTCTGCCACCTTGCTGTGTGCGGAGGGCTGCATGGCAGTGGTGGACACTGGTGCATCCTATATCTCGGGGCCTACGAGCTCTCTGAAGCTGATCATGCAAACCCTGGGAGCCAAGGAGCAGAGCACAGATGAAGTAAGAAATAGGAGGAGAGAATGGCAGGGGGTGGGGATGGGGTGAGGGGGGATGGGGGGTGTTGGGATGGGGCACAGATAGCACCACCTAGCTCCAGCCTCCAACCCATCCAGACAGCACTGAGTCCCAGACAAAGCCATTTCATGCCATCTTCTCCTCACCCCTCACCCTCCCTGCATGGGTGGCATGTCTCCCGTGGAGGGTGAGCGGAAACTGTGTCCAGGACTCTCTGGCATGGGGCTCTGGACTTCTCAGAGATCTCCACACTGAAAAGAGCTTCCTTCATTCCCCCAGTATGTCGTGGACTGTAACCAGGTGCCCACCCTCCCGGACATCTCCTTCCACCTGGGAGGCAGAGCTTACACACTCACCAGTCTGGACTACGTGCTACAGGTGAGGCTCAGTGAGAAGAGCGGGCAGGGGCTGCCGAAAGGGAGCAGCTGTAGTGTACAGATCACCTACCAGCCCCGTGGGTCATGAACGCGGCTCATGCCATCTAGAGAACTGTTAACAATCCCAGTACCCATGCCTCGCCTAGCAGATCAGAACTTCCATGACAGGCACCTGGAAATCAGAGTTTTCAAAATGCCCCAGATCCATCGGGGTGGTGGTGGCACATGCCTTTAATCCCAGCACTCAGGAGGCAGAGGCAAGTGAGTTCAAGGACAGCCTGGTCTAAAAATCAAGTTCCAGGGCAGCCAGGGCTACAAAGAGAAACCCTGTCTCAAAAATCCAATAAACAAACAGACAACCAAAACAAACAACAAACAAACAAACAAAACAAAACAAAACTCTTGCTGTGACTCAGCGACAGTCCTCTCCCCGTTTCTGAGTGGCCCTCCTTTTTAGTTCTCTCCTCCTTTCATGCTCACAGGCCTGGAGAAGTTCTGTGACTTGGTCTGGGTTAGAAGCTAAGTTGGCCTGTGAACACAGGGTAGACACATTGTTTGCCTGATATCTACCACCACGGAGCCTGCCTGCCCCAGGAAGGCTGGAATTTAGGCAGGGCTCAAACGGCTTTGGAAGGATGTAGGGATGTAGGAGAGTTGGGGCATACAAGCTGGGGTGGTGGGAAGGGGTTGTGTCATGGGCAACAGAGCAAGCCTCCGGCTTCTTGCCAGGATCCCTACAGGACTGATGACCTATGCACATTGGCTCTCCATGGCCTGGACATACCGCCACCCACTGGGCCTGTCTGGGTCCTGGGTGCCAGCTTCATCCGCAAGTTCTACACCGAGTTCGATCGGCATAACAACCGCATTGGCTTTGCCTTGGCCCGCTAACGCCCTCGGTCACCCAGTGAGCCTAGTTTCAGGCCGAGGCAAAGCTGGCGCTCCTGAGGGCCATTTTGTCAGGGCTTGTCCCCTCTTCCCCCCGGGACACTGGACACAGCTCCTCATGAGTGCTTGCCCCCTCGCCTGCACTCACCCTTCCCTGCTTTGAGGAAAGACAGAATAAAGACTTCCTATTTACAGTCCGTTTCGGGTGGATTCTTTTGCGTTTGGAGCAGAAGGAGGGACAGTTGTGTGGTCACATGTGGAGAAGACACAGGACAGATGGGGCTGGAGATGTAGCTTTGTCAGTAAAGTGCTTGTTTCCTAAGTGTGAGAGCCTGGGTTTGATCCCCAGAACCCACAGTTTAAAAAAAAAAAAAACCAAAAAACAGGCATGATGGCAACGGGGGCTGGGGGGGGCGGTATAGAGACATGCAGATCCTTGGGGTTTGATACCGAAGGAATGATAATTGAAGTTGTCTTTTGGCTTCTACACACACTCGTGCACACCCGCGCGCGCGCGCACACACACACACACACACACACACACACACACAGACAGAGAGACAGAGACAGAGAGAGATAAGCACAGAGAGACAGAGAGCTGGAGAGAGAGGGAGGCAGAATGTGACAAAACAGACACCCGCCCCCACATGCTTTTTTATACAAGGTCAATGCGTTCCGTCTACTGTCAACAGGATTCACATAGAGCTTGTTCATGCAACCTTGGCTGGGGAGTTTGCAGAGATAGGCCCCTGTTCCTCTAGGGCCACTGGGGGGAAAAAAAACCTTAGGGCTACGGCAATAGAGTGTAGGTAAATATACTGGCTAGTTTTGTGTAAACTTTATAAGCATTGCAGCTGGGATGGAAAGGGTTCCTGGTAGCCGGGAGCCAAGGAATATCACAAGTCACTGAAAGCGGAGCAGCTTACAGGCCTGCAGCAGGAAAAGGTAAGGTTTCCCCAATGTAACAACTCTGCGCCCTGGAGAGGAAGGTTTCCCCAGTGAAGTTGTTACAGCTCTGCTCGGGTCCCCGGGAGTGTAACAAAGCTGCTCCACTAGGGGAAGGTTTCCCCAGCCAGTGTTACAGTCTTGTTCTGCTCTGCGCTGCCCAGGCTCTGTCTCTGCTCCAGGGCAAAGAAGGTCTCACCCAAACCTCACTCAAGAGATTTATTGGACGGGCCGTGGTGGCGCACACCTTTAATCCCAGCACTCGGGAGGCAGAGGCAGGTGGATCTCTGTGAGTTCAAGGCCAGCCTGGTCTACAGAGTGAGATCCAGGAAAGGCGCAAAGCTACACAGAGAAACCCTGCTGGGGGGGAGGGGTGGTGGTGGAGATTTCTTGGCAGGGAAGAATTCAGGACAGGGGCTGCCTCTGCCAGGGAGGAGAAAGGCAGCCGCAAACTGAACAGGTGAGGGCTTATATAGGGCTTCTTAGGGGTGGAGTTTTTCCAGGGAGAAGATTTTCAGAGTGGGAATTGATCGGATTTCAATCCCTTTGAGCTTGGACAAATTCAGATTGGCTAGATTTTGTGCTCAGGGATTGGTTGGTTTTCCTGCTCAGGGATTGGTTGGTTTCATGATCAGTTGTTCAGGGGCCGATTTGGCTCTCCTCTCAGGGCGAAAGTGTGTTTCTTTCACTGGCCCTTTTTAGCCTTTGGGCTCTGGTTCCAGGACCAAAGTGTGTTTCTTTGGCACTGCTCTCAGGGTCAGGGTGTGTTCCTTTGGTTCTGGTTTCAGGGCCAGAGTGGGTTTCAGGGCCAGGAGTGGGTTTCTTTGGCTGGCCCTTTTCCCCTACAAACCGTGACAAAAGCTAGTCATCTGAGACGAGGGAACCATCAATTAAGAAAATGCCTCCATAAGATGGGGCTACAGGCAAGCCTATAGAACATTTTCTTAATTAGTGATAGATGTGGGATGGCCCAGCCCATTGTGGGTGGGGCTAGGTTCTACAACAAAGCAGGCTGAACAAGCTAGAGGGAGCAAGTCGGTCAGCAGCACTCACTCTTTCATGGCCTCTGCATCGGCTCCTGTCTCAACTTTCTTTGATGAACTGTGGACCTTATATGGAGTTCCCTGGGGAATTCCTCTCAGCTTGCTCTGCATGCTCTAGATGCTTCTGCCCAGGTGACCATTTACACAGGCAATCTAAGTCATCACCACCTAAGAACACAGGACTTCAGACATCCAACAATCCTACCTCACGTATGATAAGTACGTAGAGACGGAAAGGCATTTTCCCAAGATCATTTGGTGAAGAGTCATGCAGGGAAGAATCCTGAAAAACAGCGAAAAACTACCCTAGAACCCAGCCCAGCTGACTCAGGCCTTAGGGACTTCCACCTCAATCCCATGGGAGTGGTGCTCGCACAGAGACAGGGCGTCAGACTCCTTGGTTTGGGTCAGGTGCACACACAGCTGCTGTCTTCCACCTCAAGGTCTGAGGGCACCACAGGCTGAGGGCTCTTCTCCCACTCACCCGTCCCGTGCCTCCCCCCCCACCCCCGGCTGCCTAGCTTAGGGGATGAGAAAGGAGCATCTACCTGCAGCTTCTCATCCCTCTTTTGACCAACAAGTATAAAGTACTGAGTATCCCAACGAAGCTCTAGAATCTGTAGGATTTCACTCTCTGGGGTTAAGGGTCCCAGGGCTTCTCCGAGGTGGTATTTGCATGGCAGGAGCTGTTTGCCAAGTCCTGGCACAGAGCTGAGAACAAGAGCCTGGACTCCCACTAATTATGATCCCTTGCCCAGCATGGTTTTTCTTTGCCTATTGCAAAAGAAAGACCTGGAGGCAATGTCCTTTCCAGTGCCTGCATCCTGGGGTTTCATGACCTTAAGTAGGCGGTTCATCCTCTCTCATCGGCTACAATGTCCAACACAGTGGCTCCAAATGGCTGTTTACATCCTTATTAAGATTAAAGTTACACAAAATGCCACACTGGTCACATTTCCAGTGCTGAGTAGGCACGTGGGGCTAGTGGCCAGCTGTAAGAGGCATCAGCATAGAAAATGTACCAGAAGACCTGGGTTCTGGGCAGCAAGAATCAAAGGGCCTTGTGGTTGAGAGGTTCCTGAATAGGTCAAAAGGACAACCTGGGGACACAGAAACACATCCATTTTGTGGGCATTTTTCAAGTCGCGGCAGTGTGAGATGGTAAGCACTGAGGTCTCGGAGGCAAGTCCAGGTTTTGCTATAGCAGGTGGCAGTACTAATATGGTTTGCTCCGGAGGTGACCAGGAGAACATATGGCCGAGAGAGGGCCTTTCCAAAGGCTGGCATTGCATCTTTCCACGGGTCTCCTCTCCACAGCAAGTCTGCCAGAGGACTTATGGTCCTTTCCTCCAGGATCTGTATGCTCAGCCACTCCACAGGTTTGCGCCAGGCCTTTGATCACCTCTTTGCTCAACAAAGCACCGAGCTACAGGCACCTGTGCGCACACCTACTCTCTGGGCCCAGCCAGCCTCTCAGGACAGGGAGGAGATTTAAGGATTATTTAGTGAGTCTCAATGTGCTCATGTACTTGTAAAACACCCGGGAATGTTCAGTTAGAGTCCAGTCTGCCTACGGGACATTCACTCCGGCACCATCACCATATGGCTTTCCATTGAATGTGTTTGTGGTGGTGAATGATTCCTGGAAGCCTTGGAAATGCAGCCCAACCTTTTCCAAGGGTCCAGGGATTTGAAGGCAAGCCAAAGCCCACACTTTAGGAGCAGCTGATCTCCTTATTCCAGGATGGGGTGGGGACAAAGACGAGCCCCACGCCCTGCCCTTGGCTACCGAGAACGAGCTGGCAAAGAGCTGCGGGCCCCAATGGGAAGCGGGTCATCCCGCAAGAGGATGCCCAAGCAGGGACCTGGGGAGGGGCCTGAGGCTCCGCCCTTTGCGTCATTAAGGCGGGGCACCACCCCCACCCCGAGCTCCAGGTAGCCACGGCCCCAGCTAGGGGAGATGGCGGGCGGCACACGCCGGGAGGCGGGGGCGGGGCGGGCAGGGGGCGTTGCTGCGGCCCGTGATGTCACTGTCGCGGCGGACCCCGGCGATCCCCGGCCAGCTGTGTTGCGGGGCTGCGCGCCGGCGATCGGAGCGGGCAGCTAGCTCATGAGTCATGGACTTCCCCTGGCCCCTCCTCGACCACTCCCACTCCCTCTCAAGGCCTCCCGGTAGCGGCTAACGCGGGCGCGGCGGCTCCGAGGGGGTGGGGCTGCTGGGAATGGCTGTGCCCCCTTCAGCTCCAGTGCCGTGCTCGCCCTTTTACCTGCGGAGGCAGGCGCTCTGCCCGCAGTGCTCATGGGGCATGGAGGAGAAGGCGGCGGCCAGCGTTGGCTGCTGGGAGCCACCCGAGCCCCCGAGGGCCGCCGTCCCGTGCTTCGGCGTCACGGTGGATCAGGACGACATCCTCCCCGGTGCCCTGCGCCTCATCCGGGAGCTGCGGCCGCACTGGAAGCCCGAGCAAGTTCGGACCAAGGTAGCCGAGCGGGAGCGAGGCCGGGGATGGGGCCCTGCCTGAGCTGTAGCGGGGCTGCGTGGACGCCCGTCAGCTCATCCTTCCGAGTGCGGGTCCCAGGGTTGCGCGACTGTTGCGCAGGAAAGGTTTTGGACCGTGGTTTGTATACGTGTTTAGCTCTCCATCTCTTTTGATCCCTATGCAAAGCTGGGCTCGCGCTTCCCTGGACCCTCCCCACTCTCCTGTTCCAGGGGTTCCCAAGCATGCAGCCTGAAGTCTACCTGCCCACTGTCAGCATGCTGCGCGTGCGGCCCCACCCCCTGTCGCCGAGTGCTTGTCCCCTAGTTGCCCAGAAGTGCGTACTCAGCCACTCTGAAACCCGAGGAGGCACGAACTTTTAAGGAAATCTCCCCCTACATCCAATGCTGCTCCTTCGCCCTAACATGAGAACCAAACCCTCAGGGATCTGAGCATTCCCCGTGGGCCCCAGGAACCAGCCTGTGGAATTCAGAATTCCAGTAAAGCACCTTTACCACGGCCTCAGGCTGGTAGCTCTGAGCAACGCCTCCCCTCGCACCCCCTCCCCCCCAAAAAAAAACCATACACAGATTGTCAGATACATTCTCCCACACACACCTGTGGACAGAGCTGCTCACCTTGACCCCTTAGCTTACTCCCCAGCTGTCCTGGATTCTCTTAAAAATAATGTTTACACCTCTCCGGCCACCCACAGCCTGGGCAGCCTGCGCAGGAAGAGGCAGAGGGGTAGAGTTCCATGTCACAGACCTTCTGAGTGGGGGAAGGCACAGCTCTGAGGAGAATCTGGGCTGAGTGTGGTAGCATTTTTTTTTTCCAGAAGACCCAGTCAGGAGCAAGGCAGACCTGGAATGAAATCCAGCACTAGTATAGCAGATGCTAACCAGGACTCAGTAGGCCTGTTTCCTCACCCAGAATGGGTTCAGGTGACCGCTCAAGTCCCATCCAGCCCTGAAGTTTACGGTGCCCATAAAACTTCAGCTCATGGTTCCTTCCTCCCTATCGCCATGACCAGAATCTGTTCCCACCTCTGTTGTCTCCTGTGTCTTCCTTCTGGTGTGGAATTCAGAGATTCAAGGACCTCTGGCCACCAGAGCCCTGGGCTGAGTGCCAACGCAGTCCCTCTGCCACTGGATGGAGCAAGAGATACAGCTGAGAGCCCTTGCCTGCCTTGGTGAGAGGCAGGGCTGGGCAGTTCCCAGCCCTCCTGGGCCACATTCCCACCTGTGGTGGGTTCTTTCGGTGTCAGAATGGAGAAGGAAGGGGAGGGCCCCTACCCACTGCCTGGTGTGGACATGCCCACTCTGCCAAATCCCGTGCTCTGGAGGCAAGACGTAGCCTGAGTGAGTGTGCGTGGGCTCAGCGTGACTGCCACCCTCCCTCTCTCTCTCCGCTTGTGTTTTAGTCCACTCCAAGGCAGAGGGTAGTGCTGGCCGGTGTGGGGTTGTGTTCAGTGTTCAGATGAGCGCAGTACTCTGCTTTGATCGAAGCTCTGGGAAGAGACCAGAGGATTGTACCCCACCCCACCCTCCCACCCATCGCTGCCCTCTCCCCATGCTAGCGCTTCAAAGATGGCATCACCAACAAGCTAGTGGCCTGCTATGTGGAGGAGGACATGCGGGACTGTGTCCTGGTCCGGGTGTATGGGGAGCGGACAGAGTTGCTGGTGGACCGGGAGAACGAGGTCAGGAACTTCCAGCTGCTGCGAGCACACGGCTGCGCCCCCAAACTCTACTGCACCTTTCAGAACGGGCTGTGCTATGAGTACATGCAGGGTGTGGCCCTGGGACCGCAGCACATCAGAGAACCCAAGCTCTTCAGGTGAGTAGGGTGCAGGGCACTCCGCACAATGTTTCCCTACGGCTGTGGCTGCGAGGTTCTCGCAGTGGGGTTCATGAAGGAGGCAGCGTCCTAAGTCATATTTTCATATTGCTCTGAAAATAGTTGTTGATAGTTGTCTGCTCTGAGGCTGCGACACTCCCTAGCCTTATAGTGGTGCCCACTAGGAAGGATGAGTTCCGGGAGAACGCAGTGGTCCCATAAATGTGGCAGAGATCAGGGTTTTGTTGTTCTTCCTCACCCCCATTTCTCAAGCCTCTGACCACCCTGTGTCAGGTGTGGGAATCTGGGCCAAATTCTGAAGGTGCACAGGCTGTCTACCTCTCCTGTCTTTTTTCCTTTTTTCTTCATTTTGCTATTATTATTATTATTATTATTATTATTATTATTATTATTATTATTATTTGAGACAAGGTCTCTCAATGTAGCCCTGGCTGTCCTGGAATCTGATATATGTAGACCAGGCTGGCCTGGAACTCACAGAGACCCACCTGCCTCTGCCTCCCAAGTGCTGGGATTAAAGGCGTGCACCACCTCCCTCCCATCTTTTGCAGAGAGTGTAAGGTGTGAAGACCAACAGCCTTATCCAGGGTGCACTTGACTTCAGCAAGCTGGAGATAGCCCCCCACCCAGCCCCCAAGCCGAGGCCTTTTGGGTCCCCTGACAGTGGAGACTCATGTTTGGAGTACGATTGAAGCCTCTGCGCAGAAGGCCCATGGGAACTGGGCCCAGTTCCCGATGAATACCTGGATATATAGGGCCTAGGGACTGCATTTAACCGTCAAGCCCTGTGGATACTTCCGTAGGGCCCGAAACGGGGAGAACCAAACAGCCCTCAGCACACCACCCTCTCTGCTCCCACTAGACCAGGAAGAGGGGGGGGGGTCAAGCAGTATCCTCTCCCTCCCCACAGTGACATGAGCTGTGTGGATGAAGACCACCAGCCTGTCATAGTGAGGCACAGGCAAGCTCACTTTCTCCCAATGCTGGGGGCCCCAGGGCAGGGTCTGCCCAGGTGCTTTGCTTGGCATCTGCGGTGTCCAACGCAAGAGCGCGGAGACTTGGCTTTGCATGCTGAGGGTAGCAATGCCCACCTAGGGGTAGGCCTGGCTTTCCAGTGCCTCCTCAGCTGCCCACCATTCAGCCCAGACAAGTACACTTGGCTCTCCGCATACATGGTTGGCCCTCCACACTCTTCAGGGTGGCCCCTGGGACAGCTGCGGCCCCAGGACACTGTATTTGAGTTGTGTTACCGCTGTGTGTTGGTGGGGGCCCGTGCGTGAAGGGCGTGCCCGCCCATGTGGGGGTCACTGGGGTTCAAGCTGAGTACACCCAACCTGGAGAGGAGAGGTCAAAGCAGGGGACAGGGGACCCTGCCCGCTTTTCTCATGGCTCCTTCCTTAGTCTTGTGCTCAAACATTGGCAGGTTCTCACCACTCTCAGTCTCTCTCTGCCTCTGTGAACCTCATCCGTCACTCATCCTCTTTCTGGAAACAATTACCACTGTCAGGAAGATTGAAGGGGGATTTAGGTGCCGTAATAAGAAGTTGGTGTTTGGGGGAGAGCCAGGAATTGGGGTGGGTGTAGGAGGTAGGCCTTTCCTTGGTGACTTTCCCAGGATGGCGCTCCCCGCCCCCCCCCCCCTCATGGTGACAGGGTTTCTGCAGGAAAGCGCCCCACCCCCACTCCATATCTCTAGAGCCCACCCCCCAGCCTGCTCTGCTGAGGTTCTTCAGCATGAAAATGCTGAGTGTTGAAGTTGCTTCAATTGCTATTCACACAGCAGCCCTTTTGACATTCAAGGAACCGCTCTGTTCAGAATCTTCCTAGGGAAGGAAGACCAGAGCTGGGCCTCAGGTCCGGCTTCCCTTTTCCCAGCTCCTTGGTGGGCTCTCACCTACCCCAGCACCTCTGACCTCCACGCACCTCCTCGGCTGCGGATGGCCCTCCACCCTGGAGGAAGTAGGAGGCTTGGGGAGGAACCTGAAATTGCCATTATCCTGATGGTGTAGGGCTGGTCCCTTCCCAGGCCGGGCAAGGGGAGGAGTAGTAGCCTTAGGACAACTCCGTTATGAGGTTTCAAACAACCAGGGTCTTTGTTGTCCTTCCCAGTGATTATTATTCCAGCAACAGACAGAGGCAAGGGAAGCCCGGAGGCTTGGATGTCGGCTGCTTGGCAGGCTGTTAGGGTTGGACTGCAGCAGGGAAGAGCAGGCAGAGCCCAGCTGGGACCCCAGCCTCCATGCCGACCTTGGCACTGGCCTTGATGTGAGGCTCTTATCAAGGTCCTTCCCTCTGCAGTAGCTAGTCCCTTCTCACTCCCAGCAGACCTCCCCCAGACAACCACTCACTCTCCCCCAGGACCTTGGATAATGTCTGTAGGGGAACCTGAAGATAGAAGGCTGGCTTGTTTTGTGTCCTTGGTATCCGCTCACCAGCATCAACTCCCTGTGGAGTCAGAAGGGGCTGCCCTGGGCCAGCCTCTCCATCCTGGCCAGACTGATAAAAAGCTAACATTTCCTCCTTGCCTGGCATCAACACTCACTATTCTCTTCATGGAAAGGGACCTGCTGCCACTTCTCCAGAGAGGATGGGGCAAAGTCTGGAGGTGGGGTACTGCACTTATGCCTGGTTGCCCCTGTGTTCTCAAGGGCGGCTATGGGAAGGCTGGGGAAGGCCAAGCTACTGGCCTGGGGGGAATAGTCCTCTGCTTTTCTCTGGCCCAGCTCCGGGACAGAAAAGGAGCAATGGCTGACGGTCTTACTGCATTTTCCTGCCTTCTACTGAAACCTTGTTTGCAGACCAAGGGTTCCTGGGACCTGTCAAGATCCCACATGTGGCCCTCTGGCTAGTATCCAGAACCTTCCAAACCCTTTCTGGTCAGGAGGGGCTGGGCAGGAGGACAAGCCCAATCCTGGCACTCACGATTCCTCCCATTTCTGTTGTAGGTTAATCGCCTTAGAAATGGCAAAGATTCACACCATCCACGCCAATGGCAGGTTGCCCAAGCCCACCCTCTGGCATAAGATGCATCATTATTTCACGCTGGTCAAGGATGAGATCAATCCCAGGTACAGAGATCTGAGGGGGCTCAAGGCTGCCAATACTCTGCCCCGCCCCCTGCTTTTGGCTCCAGGCAACTCTTAGAGAAGGTTCAGGGATGCAGTTCCTAGTGAGGAGGAGCTTCTCCGGGGCACCTTCCATCCCCAGCCACAGTCCAGGCAAAGAAAAGCTATTGGCTGCATCCTAGCAACGTGGATCAGCAGTTTTGTACAGCAGCACTTATTTCTCTTTGAGTTTTCTGACTGTGTCGGGGGGGGGGGGGCAGGATTAGGGACAACTCCCATTTTCCTTAGAAGAGACCAGTGTTGCAAGAAGCACTTGAGGACTTAACGCTGCATGACTGTTTCTGTCTTTGGAACCATGGAAGAGCGGAGCCTCTGAGAATCTGAGGTTCTAAGCTCAGTGGGTCGTAAGAGCAGACAGCCACGCCCTGGGACTGCCACGGTTTGCCGCTGATTGCCTGGACGACTCTGTGTACCTTTGGGAACCATGCCCCCATTTTGTTCCTTCACACACCCACTGCTCCGTGAAGTGCTCTTTCCAGGGACAGAGGCCTCCCTCGCATCCTGATTCTACTTTCAAGCAAAACAGGGTCCCCCAAACTTCCCCTTTGCTCACTGGCCTGCAGGTACTCAGCTCCTGATACACCTTGGAGACCAAAGCATGGAAAAGAGTCCGCAGCATGGTCTCTGACATTCCACACATCCTGCAAGGATGAAACATCAACTTTTTTTTTTTGAGTCAGTGGAGCCCCCACTGGCCTGGAACTCACTATGTAGATCGAGCTGGCTTTGAACTCACAGAGATCTGCCTGCCTCTGTCTTTCAAGAGCTGTGATTAAAGGTGTGTGTTATCATACCCAGCAAGCACTGCCTTTGAAAATGCATTTGAATGTCTTTGACTGATTATATAATTATACACACAATATGTGATGATGAGAACAAGGTGACACATGTCTTCCGATGTTTATCATTTCTTTGTGCTGGACATTCAGAGTCCTCTCTTCCAGCAATTTTTGAAATATACAATTAATTTGAACACTGCCGCTTCTGAAGTGTCACCAGAGTAAGGTGGCGGGCGAGAGGGAGGTCTGAGGGAAAAGAGTCTCCCTCATTCCCTCCTCTACCATGGCAGTCATGAATGCTGACCCCATAATTCATCCCTTCCACACACCATGACTCTATCTAAACTCTGACACCCAGTGATGGTGCTCTGAGTGCCCCCGATGGCCCTAGCCTGCCCTCTGTCTGACCACGTTCAGACCCTGGGACAAGGACGACCATATCCCCGAAGACTAGAGTGTGACACGTCCCCTTAGCCAGCGCTGTTATTTGACAGGTGGAGATGGGACTTGCTATTTCTCGGTGCAGGTCTGGTGCTCATTCATGAATGGACACAGCACAGCATCCTTTGGCTGCTGTCCTGTGTAGCCGTGGTGAATGATCTTGTCCAGAAGAGAGAGGCCCTCGGCGAAGAGCTGGCCTCGGGGAGATCAAGGCTTCACTTCTCTGAGCCTCTCTGTAGGATGGTCCCCTCACCCTTTAGAACTGCCGTGCATGTCCCACAGCAGGACAGCCCTGAACAGTCATCGGAATTAGATGGAGCCTCTTGGACTCCTGGCATTACCTCACCGCCCTGACTTATTCAAACCTTCGCTGCACAAACATTGACTGGGATTAAAATGGCAGGGGAGTGAAGGTGGTTGGGACATGGGCCCTGCCTGTAAGGAGTTTAGGAGCCATCTGGGTAAACAGAACATGCCTGTGCTTGGCACAAAAGACGGCCGGGTGTGTAATGCGTACAGAGGTGGGAAGGGGCGGCAGAAGTCATGTTGGCAGAGGTGGCAGGGCAGGATGAGAGGGGCTTGCTCCAGCTCAGGAGACAGCCGGGGGGGGGGGGGGGGCAGGTCTGTTGATGGTTGCCGAGGAGGTAAATGTGGCTGGAGCAGACGTTCAGGAGGTCCTGGAAGTGGGGAATAGCCAGAGGGAAGGGGACTTGGGTACCAGGCTAAAAGGTCAGGATTGATGTAAAAACAAGCATCAGGAAGCCATGAAGGTGTGTTTGGTCTTTGTATGTTTGTTTGAGACAGGGTCTCACTGTGTAGCCCCCACTGGCCTCAGACTCCTATAGCCCAAGCTAACCTGTCTTAAACTCACGGTCTTACTGCCCAAGTACTAAAATTACAAGTGTCTGCCCACGTGCTCACTATTACAAAGGTATCTGAGCCAGGACTGTGTTTTAGAAAGGGTCTAGCAGGTATAAGGACCGCTTTGGTGAGGGGGCTGGTTGTGCACTTGGTGGGGGATAAGCTGGGGGCAGGTTCTAGGACCGGGAGACCCAAGCTAGGACAACCAGGTCCCCCACAGAGTGCTTGCTGAGTGTACTCTGCCAGGCCAGGCCCGAGAGTGCTCTACTGGACCAGGACTGCATTTAGGTGGCCTCCCGGAAGCACAGAACACATCTGGGGCAACATTGCTTGGGGGCAGCGTGGTGGGTAGGTGGAAATGGAAGGCTAGACTGTGTCGGAGACTGCAGACAGTGACTTGGTGGCCCCGAGTAGGGTGCAGTGTGGACCTTAGGGACAGCAGGAGGGGATACTGATGGGTGGGGTGCAGTGTGGACCTTAGGGACAGCAGGAGGGGATACTGATGGGTGGGGTGCAGTGTGGACCTTAGGGACAGCAGGAGGGGATACTGATGGATGGGGTGCAGTGTGGACCTTAGGGACATCAGGAGGGGATACTGATGGATGGGGCTCAGTGTGGACCTTAGGGACAGCAGGAGGGGATACTGATGGGTGGGGTGCAGTGTGGACCTTAGGGACATCAGGAGGGGATACTGATGGGTGGGCTGATGAGAGGGCAAAGATGGGAAGCCAAGAGACCGGAGCAGTAGAAAGTTGGTCCCTCAGAGGAGAACTTGTGCCTCTCCAGTGGGAACTGAATGGAGATGGCCAAGCGGCAGTCCCTCCACCAGCAGGAATCCCAGGCCTCTCAGAGACCCCAGCCCGCATCCCTTCCGCTCTCTCTGGGGTGAGCATGTTTCCAGGTGGCAGTGATGGTTGTTTACTGCCAACCCTGCAGAGGTGGAAGGGGTTAGGGCTGGCAGGGTAGAAGGCAGCAAAGCTGGCCGAGGTCTACATGTTCCAGGAGGGACAGTGCCGTTTTGAGGGGGCCCCTGGAGATAGGCCCGGATTGTTCTCACAGTAAGTACCACAGTGGCCTTGGCATGATAGGGCAGGGTCAGACTGAGGCCAGCGACTGGGAGCAGGCATCCGGCTGTCACAGGCATGATTTTCAGACTGAGCCCTGGGCAAACCAAAGGACTCCTCCTCGGCCTTTATCTTGAAGTAGCCTCAGAGTGATCTGGGAGTTCTCAAGTAGCTTCAGGGAGGGCCAGGTGCATGGCTGAGGCCGGAGCTTGGCTCTCCCCTCTGTCCGTGGGCTGCCTGGTTGAGAGAGGCCGTCTTAGAGACCGAGGGAACAGATCAGGGGTACACAGCTCTGTGATGAGGGCACAGGGTAGGTAGGCTGGGAACCCAGCTGGGCTGAGGTGTTGGGTCCAAGGGTGTCCATGCTCCAGGCATCTGGGGTCTGGAGCTGCCCATGTTATGAGGCACCTGGGGTGCAGGGGTGCCCATGCTATGAAGCACCTGGGATGAGGTTCTTTTTCTTCCTGGAGCCTCCCCCATTTCCCAACCATGTAGGATGGAAGACCTAAGACCCCTCTAGCCTTGGCATCCCTTTTCTACGGGGGACATGGGGACATCTTAGCCAGTTCTGTCCAGTGGGGAGGTGAGCTGGGACCCATCTTGTTATCATCTTTGTCTGAGAACCTTTGCTGTCCTAGGCAGAGAGACAGGAGTGGAGACAAGGCCCAGCACCCCGCTCCCAGGGGTAGTTCTGAATTTTGTTGTTTGGCTTTTTCGTTGTACACAGGCCTGTGTACCTGAAGGGCCAAAGTTCAGAGCACCTGAGTACAGCGTGTCTTTACCCAACTTTGCATTGATTGACCCGTGATAGATCATTCCCCAGCCCAGCATGCCTGGCAGACCATGCTACTTCAGTGACGCGGGGTGGGTGGAGGTAGCCTTATGCATTTTTTTTTTTTTTTTTTTTTTTGCTCTGCTTCCAAGCTAGTTGGTCTAGCAGATGCCAGGGACAGGAAACACTCATCACTCAAGGTGACAGGAATTAGTTGTTGGGAGTGGCAAAACAGGTGTCTCACACTGGGGGTGCTGCTGTTTCTCTGATGTTTGCACAGTGTATCGCGGGCCAACTGTTACAGCCCTGGGAGATGACAGATTACCAGAGTCTAGGAGCTCGGCAGCTGAGGTATGAGGCGCCATACCAGGGCACCCCTCTGCTGTGCTGAGAAAGTCCTGTTTCTCTAGGCCCTCCTGGGGTTCTGTCACTGGGGAACCTCATCTTGGAGGAGCACATCCCCTCCTAGGGAGTTCCTGGTATGGTCTATTCTACCTCTCACTATTGATTCCATGGGCCCCATTCCCTCTTCCTCTGGAACCATGGCCTCTGACACTTGTCACCTCTCCTGTCCTCTCCTGGGTCCCCCTTCCTCACCCTGTCCATTTTACCAAGTAGCAGGGATACCATTTAGTTTTAGTGACTTTTCCCCCCAAGATGGGGTTTCTCTGTGTATCCCTGCCTGTCCTGGAACTAACTTTGTAGACCAGGCTGGTCTCGAACTCACCAAGATCTCCTGAGTGCTGGGATTAAAGGTGTGTGTCACCACTGCCTAGCTTAGTTAGTGACTTTTATGTTATGACCAGGGTTTAAACTGCTTCTTATTTAACCCTGGGAACCAGAAGGACAGGCTACGCTTATGTGTGACAAAAGTCGGGGCTGTGCTGGGCTGGCCTTTTGTCTGAGGTCTCTAGAGTAATTGAATGATTGGACTAGAGTTTAGGGCTGGCCTGTCTGAGCTGAGTCAACCCTCCCTTGACCTGCATTTCCCCCCCCACTGTCTAGCCTTTCTGCAGACGTCCCTAAGGTGGAGGTGTTGGGACAGGAGCTGGCCTGGCTGAAGGAACACCTGTCCCAACTGGAGTCCCCTGTGGTATTCTGTCACAACGACCTGCTCTGCAAGAACATCATCTATGACAGCACCAAAGGTACTGCCCCTCAAGCCCCTCGGATGTGGGGACACGGGCCAGCTGGCTAGCCTGCTGGCTTCAGGGGTCCGGGAACAAGGAGCAGGAGACCTGAGCTTTGACTGTCCTTTATCATGGAAGACATGGGTATGCCTTATGGTGACCTTAATTTGTGGGAAAGAGGAGGAAAATGGAACAGGAAAGTACCCCTTAAAAAAAACGTATTGTAAGAAAGGACTCAAAATCACAGTTGGGAAGGTCTTCAACATCTGGGCAGCCAAGCCATGTATCCTGATGACTTTATGGGCTTCTGAGGCCATCATGGCTTCCCCAAGCCTTGAGAGGGCAGGGGGATTGTGAAGAGAAGAGAGGGAGAGATTGCTGCTTACTATTCCTGAGAGTGCAGTTCCCCTGGAAATGCAGATGTCCCTCGTCACACACCGGAGACTTGTGTTGGACGTCTAAGAGTGCCAACACGTCTCCTGAAAAACAGCAGAGTGGCCCTTTGCAAGGGGAGTGCTTGATGTGAGACCAGAATCCTGTCCCCAGCACCCCGAAAACACGTGAAAATAAGATAGCATTTACATATGACATCCATCCGGCTACTTACCATGTCCAATACAGTGGAAATATGAGCTAAAGAGGTGTTAGTCCACGTTGTCTTAGGAATGACAAAGGAAAAAAAAGTCTGTATATGTTTAGTACACGTGAATTTTTTAATTAGCATTTTATGGTATGATTATTTTGTTTGCATGTATGCCTGTGTGTCATATGCATGTAATGCCCACAGAAGCCAGAAGAGGATGTTGGACCCCCTGGGCTTGTGGTTATGGTTGGTTATGAGCCACCATGTGTATTCATAACCGCTGTACTCTTAACCGCTGAGCCATATCTCCATCCCTCAGATCCAATGTATAGATTTTCAATCCATAGTTAGTCGAATCCGTGGCTGTGGGACCCACAGACATGGTAGGCAGGAAGTACTTGCTTTGCTTCTGATCCTTAGCTCTGCCGCGGACAGATGGCGAGCGGCCTAGAAGGTTGCGGCAGAGATCCGGGAGGGCCGGAGGGTGTGTCGCGGAGGTCTGGAAGTCTGACCATGCCCCATTTCCAGATCTGGGACTGGCCCTCACTGCTTCTCCTTCTCCTCACAGGCCACGTGCGGTTCATCGACTATGAATATGCAGGATACAACTACCAGGCTTTTGACATTGGCAACCACTTCAACGAGTTTGCAGGTAGGGAGAGTTACTCTGACCTCAGTGCCCTCCTTATGATGGGGTGCCAAGTCTGCAGGGGGGACCACGGGCGGTTCTCGACCTGAGGTTTGATGGGTGGGAGATGGGCACAGCCTGCTTTTAAAGAGCAATGTATGTCACAGAAAAGGACTCCTCTCCAGAGCTGACCTCTGCTAGCCTGTGTGGCAGGCAGTTTGGTACAAACGAGGAAATGCATTCACTGTAGGGTCCCAGGGGCTACTCAGCCTGACATGTGAATTAAGAAGGACCCCCTTCCAAGTGGGGCTCAGTAGTTCAGTTCTGTGATCTCAGCTACTTGGGAGGCTGAGGCAGGAGGATGCCAGTTCAAGGCCTTTCGGGGCTACAGTATGTGTTCAGGGCCAAGCTGGGGAACTTGGTAAGACGCCGTCTTAGAATTAAAGATAGTCATGGATATACCTCAGTGGTAGACAACTGCCTAGCATGTACAGGGCCCTGCATTCAATATCCAGTACCAGAGAAAGAGAGAGAGAGAGAGAGAGAGAGAGAGAGACAGAGAGAGAGACAGAGAGAGAGAGAAAGACAGAGAGAGACAGAGAGAGAGAGACAGAGAGAGAGAGAGACAGAGAGAGAGAGAGACAGAGAGAGAGAAGGAAAGACCCCTTCCTCAGGACAGGCACAGCCCCCACCAGCTCAGCCAGCACTCCTTCCTGCCCAGTACAACTTGTACAATGGTCCATGAAGGCCTTGAATGCAGGTATGTGACCAAATAAGCTGTAAGTAGCCGTTTCCCTGGTGTCCTGAAGCGAAGAGTCTAGGCAGAGCTAGTTAAGAGTATTTCCACATCTTGATTTCCTGAGTTTCAACCCTAGTTTTGTTGTTCACTAGTGGTGAGGTTCAGGTCACAGCCCTCTGTGGCTGTAAAATGGAGACGTTGTAATACCTACATTGAGCTAAGACACACACACACACACACACACACACACACACACACACACACACACACGGCTGGGTGTGGTGGTACACACCTTCAATCCCAGTGCTCAGGAGGCACAAAGAGGCAGGCAAATCATTGTGAGCTTGAAGGTAGCCTGGTCTATATATTGAGTTGTAGGACAGCCTGGACTAGAGACCCAATCTCCAGGAAAAAAAAAAGATTCCCCTCCCCATTCCCTTAGACTTGGTAACTATACTATAAATGTGTGGTAATCTAGACCCATCCATGTAAGGGCTTCAGGGCATAGGACCATGGAAACAACTCCTCAATGGAACTGGACACAGTTGGAGGGCCATCTGCAGGCTGGTATGTGTGCTTGCCAGTGTGCCCTGGCTGGCCTCTAGGGCTTAGGAAAATTGAGGTGCCCTGACCAACTGTGGAGCCATCCCTTGGCTGTTCCCCTGACCAACCCAGCCCAACCCAGGCTGATGAATCACATCTCTTTTAGAGCCTTGGAGGACCAGGTCTGTCCAGTTGCTTGCACCCAGGGGCCCAGCTCTCTAGGGCACTCAGAGGGAGGCATTGGGCCTCAGCTGAGCTGTGGGGAGCTGAAGCAGAGGCCTGCCCTGCAGGGCACATGTCTGGCAGTGCTCGGCTGCCAGGAGGGCCTTTGCAGAGGTGGTAAGTCCTCATCCAGTGCACAGAGCAAAGTTCAGCTGGGGCTTCTCCAAAGGGGTGGGTTGTGTCCTTTAGAAGCTGGCAAACAAACTCTGGGCAGTAGGAAGATACAGGTCCAACCCCACCCCGCCTCTAACTGGCTGTGTGCCCTGGGCCTTTTGACATGCACGGGGAGATTCTTTACTACCCACATCCTTGGGACTCAGAAACTCTGCTTCTCGAGGGATATCAAGGACACTTGGGAAGTAAGAAGGGAAAGGAGAGACCCTGGAGACGGTGGCCCAGCTCTGCTCCCACCTTAAATCAACTACTTCTTTCTAGTTCTGGCCTACCCTGTGCTAACCCCAGAGCTGGAGGAACTGGGAAGTAGCTTAAGAACACTTAGGACAGGGGAGGGTCTGTTGCCATCACGGGGAGCGGTGGGGCATTTCCCTGGAAATGCCAGTGTGAGCAGCAACATTTTAACATTGATAGGGAAGTCCAACTCCTTGTCTGGAAGGTGAAGGAATTAGGGTCTTGAGATGGAAGGGCTGAGCTGAGGTCAACTGGTGCCAAGCCTGAGACCTTCCACGAAGCATCATCACTTTATAGAGGGGCAGGTATAAGGTGACAGCGCCCTTGGGCTTCCCACTACTTGCAGGGCAGCACCTGGCCCCTGACCACTCAGCTTCCCTATCCTCAGCGCTAGGCAAGTGGTACCCTACTGGGTAGAGGAGACCCCCCTCCACCAACTGAGCTGCCCTCACAGGGCTCCTCCGCAAGCCAGCCCACAGCTCAAGGTAGGAGACTCCTGGGCTCAAACCTGAGAGGCGCTTTTTGGGCAACTTGGGTCTCACTTGCCTCCCTAGGTGTGAATGAGGTTGATTACTGCCGGTACCCAGATCGGGAGATCCAGCTACAGTGGCTGCGCTATTATCTTGAGGCACAAAAGGGGACCGCTCCAACCCCCAGGGAGGTGGAGCGCCTTTACGCACAAGTCAACAAATTTGCTCTGGTGAGTGCTTGGACCTGCCACTGGCTCCCGCTCAGAGCCCTGGGTCAGTTGTTCTTAGTGAGTGAGGGCTTCTGCCGCCACGCGATGAAACGTCATGACCAAGCAACTTGGGTGGAAAGGGGTTTATTTTGCCTTACAGCTTAAGTCCGTCATCCAAGGAAGTCAGGAAGGTAGAAGCTGTAGAGGCCAGGAGGGGTGCTGTTTCCTGGCTCTGTTCCCCATGGCTTGCTCACCCTGCTTTCTCATGCCATCCAGGACCACTAGCCTAGGGAATAACACTGCCCACGGTGGACCGGGCCCTCCCAAAGCAGTCATGAAAATGCCCTACAGACTTGCCCACAGGCCAGTCTGGTGGGGTTATTTTCTCAATTTAGATTCCCTCTTCCAAAATGACTCTGGCTTATGTCAAGTTGACATAAAACTAACCAGTCCAGTTGTGGATTATACCCCACCAAGAAAGGGTCTGAAAACAGCCATTCTAGGTTGTGTCCCCTTAATGTTCCTGCCACCCAGCCTGGGCACTCATCTCCCGAGATGAATATTTCCAAAACAGCCCTCAGCTTCCACACTCAGCCAATCTGTTTGGATGGGTAGTTCTCTCTGCTAGCTAACCTTAGTGTTTCATGCTGCGGTAAGACGCTCCTTGTTACCACCATCACTATCAAGCTCACAATTTACCAGCCTTGCCTCCCAGGCTCCTCCTCCCCCACCACTGCATTATGGCATTCAATTGGGAATGCCATTTCTCCAAGGAAAATGGTTCATGCCGGGTGTCCGCTGGTGTGGGCCGAGGGGACTAGGACTGCTAACACACGGGAAGACAAGCCAGCTCCAGGCTTCACCATTCATAACAGAGCTTAGATAATCTGTCTTTTCTGGGATTGATTGCTTGTCCTGGTCCAGCCTGGCCCAAGCCTCACCCTCTTCCTCCTCTGTTGCACCTGAAGAACAAATCTTCTCACCTTTTGTGCAGCTTTTAAGCAAAAACCACCCCCTACTTGCTGGCTCACCTACATCCCTTCTAAGCCATGGAAAGGGAAGTGGAGGGAGCCCTCCTTAGCAACTGTGTGGCCAGGGCTTGGGATGGGTGGGAAACCCCTAAGGGTGTGCCCCCGTGCCTCGGAAGGTGATGGTTGGCGTAGCTTTCAGGGGTAACTGGGAATCATGGCTTTCTGGCTCTTTGAGCCTGGGGTAGAGAGAGGCAGGCTGGGGAACCCTGAAGTCCTTGGAGCCCTGCTTCTGATCACCTGGGTGATAGACTCTGGGTAGAACTGGCTCTACTTGCCTTTTACTGGTGGGTAGTGAGTCCCCCAGTGCTACCCAGTGGCCTGGCCTCCATTTCTCCCCACATTGGCCAGGGTTCAGCAAGACACCCAACGTGGCCGAGTCTCTCTCGCTCTTGAAGGCTGTGACAGGTGTGTGCTTTGCGGGGCTGACCCTCTCTGGCCCATTTGCAGGCCTCCCATTTCTTCTGGGGACTCTGGGCACTCATACAGAACCAGTACTCCACCATCAGCTTTGACTTCCTCAGGTCAGTATGGGGAGCTGTGGGAAGATGGGTGGGGGGGGCAGAGGAGGGAGAGCGCCCCGACTACCACGTGACCCAGCAGGGCAAAACAGAATGCCGGAGTCCTTCCAGCTCGCAGCTGACCCCAACCCCGGCTCCCCAGGGAGCCCCACCAAACCCAGTGAAAGTGCTCCTGCCCCTACCAAGCCTTCCATACCGTGCCACCCAGCACCAGGGCCCACTCTGCTGGTGCCGGCTTAGCCCGAGCCTGGAGCAGATAGACAGGCCAGAGCTTCAGTGTGAAAGGATGGAAAGCCAATGAGATGGCTTGGTGGGTAAAGGCACTTGTGGCCCAGCCTGGCGACCTGAGTTTGACCCCCAGAATCCACGTAAAAGTGGGAGGAGAGAACTGAGTCCTGAAAGTTGTCCTTTGACCTCCACATGTACTGTGGCACACACACACACACACACACACACTACACCCACACAATAATAATATTTTTAAAAATTAAAGAGGAGCTGCCAAGTGCACAGATCACTGGGGCGACTTAGATCTCCCCATACTGCCTCGGATCCACCTCTTCCTTAGGCTCAGGGACCATATCCAAACTCTTGCTATGACAGCTTGGGTGCCTGTGAAACGAGGCCCCCTTTGTCCTCACAGGCGGGGAATGAATTCCTCTATTTGTCCCCGTCCACCCTCAGCTACAGCACTCGGCTGGCTCAGACACGGGCACACACCGGAGTATGTTAGAACACCAGCAAAGCCAGAAGATGAAGAGCATGTGCCAGGGTGTGGGAAAACTGGGAACGCAAACTGGTCCAGCCATTCTAGGGAAGAATGTTGCTTCAAACACCGAAAAATGCAACTCCCACCCGATCCAGCAACCCCCCTCCTGCGTGTCTGTCCCAGAGGGCAGAAGCAAGGGTTCACAGGAGTGTTTTTTTTAGACACTGGCCCTCACGGCAGCCAAGAGTTGTCACTTGATGAGTGAATGACAGAATCTGGTCACGTGCTATGCAGATGACCCTTGAGGACATTTTGCTAAGCGAAATAAGGCAGCCACAAAAAGACAGACCTTAGGACTCAGAGGGTCACGTGCATAGGGACAGAGCAGGGCGGTCACTGGGCTGGGACCAGAACGTGACGCAAGTTAACAGTTTTAACTTTAAAGGATTAAAAAGTTAGCCGGGCGGTGGTGGCGCACGCCTTTAATCCCAGCACTCGGGAGGCAGAGCCAGGCGGATCTCTGTGAGTTCGAGGCCAGCCTGGGC